GCCCAGCTCATTGCCGCCGCCGCCAGCCGGGGCATAATACGGTAAATAAATACGAGCGTAGGGGATCCGCGTGTGAACGAAGCCCCACTCCCCCGCCCCTTTTGCTTTGGCTCCCGAGCCAGCGCTTTTGAAAAGGGCTTGACTCCAGCCTGGGATTCGGAGCGGGAGACGCTGCTGCTGCTGCCGCCCGCACTACTGTGGACTTACAATATCCGAGCAAAAGACTTTGCAAAAGACCACCCCGCCAAGGGGGAAAGGCGCGCAGTTGGGCACCGTCTGCCTTCGGCGTCTCTTTAAACGGTGCTCGGATATTGTAAGTCCATAAAGAACTGGGGAAAAATATTGACTCGCCTATAAGCCGAGGGGGGCATTTTTCAGCTCAAAAAATGGGCTGAAAAACTCGGCTTATACTCGAGTATATACGGTATATTTTTACATGAAAACTACCATGTGAAAACACTAATTCCTTCCCTTAGAGAGCAAAAGCAGGAATGTTAAATAGTAAACAGGAATATGATCTCAACCTAGACCAGGGGTAGGCAACCTCGGCTCTTTTATGACTCATGGACTTCAACTCCCAGAATTCCCGAGTCAGCTATGCTGACTCGGGAATTCTGGGAGTTGAGTCATAAAAGAGCCGAGGTTGCCTACCCCTGACCTAGACTATGAAGAATACAAAAAGGTGCTCAGAAAACAGGGCACCTCCCCTTCCTTTGCGAAAATTGGAGGAATGATCTAAACCAGTGGTTCTCAACCTTTTCTTCACCACAGACCCCCTTTAAATACCTTTTGTGGCCATGGACCAAGATTTAACAAGATTGAAATCATAACATTTCTCCAAGCTTTTGCAGACCCCCTCTGACATCGCGGCCCCCAAGGGGTCCGCGACCACAGGTTGAGAACCACTGATCTAAACTAATCACTCACTCTTTTGATGGGTCCATAGACTTCAAACTCCCTCCTCAGCTTGGACTCTGTTGTATCATAATTCTGGAAAGTAAGTAGGAAGAACAGAGTTAAAACTAATGGAAAACCAATAACACATCTCTCTATGACAGGGCTTTTCAACCTGTGGTACATTAATGAGTGGCAGGTGGTACGCAGCCCTGACTAGCCAAGTGTAGTGGGGGAGGGAAAGAGCCAGCACAGGCAAGGACTTACTGTGAGAGAGTCCTCCGGAGCTGCAGAGTGGCTGAGGTGAGGCAAAGGCCCCAGGCTCACCCTCCCCCATGAGAAAGGAGGAGGAGGGGGGCGGAGACAGGAGAAGCTATAAAAGGAGGCAGTTTGGGCAGGAGAGGGAGAGAGAGAAAAAAGCAGCAGCCTTGGGGGGGGAGGAGGAGGAGGTGATGATGATGATGATCAAGATCAAGCAGGCTGGCCATGAGCTGATCTACAACTGCTGTGGCAGCCACCTGTGCTGGCAGCAGCAAACAGGCAAGAAATGCAGCAGGGGAGGGGTCCCCCTCCAAGAGGAATGAAAAAAGGCAGCAATGGCTGGAGGTGAGGCACCAGGGAGGGAGATGGAGAGTGGAAGGATTCTTATGTGCTTTTGTGACTTTGAAGTTCTGGGATTTGTGCAATGTGGGCTTTGTGTTCTTAAGGAGTGTTTGGCAATTTCTATTTGGCTGATGTCTCGTGTTAGCTTCTATTGCTCTGCTGTTGTTAGCTGTAAGTTTTGCTGCAAGGGATTTTGAAGTATTTTTCTCCTG